GCTTGTGATACTCATGTGACGCTAAGGAGCGCTTTCGATGGGAAAGTTGCTTTATTACCTGGTGGCAAGGCTGCCTAGATGTACCTCGCATGTGCTTCGATGTGAATGCATTCGACTACCATAATCTACCGAGGCAGATGTAGCGGCCTCGAAATACCCCAATGAATACATCGGGTGGAGTGAAACAATGTAGTCAGAAAAAAGGAAGCCAAAAGATACACAAGGCGTGCCTGGACCTCCATTATCGAGGTAAATTGCAACTGCAGAAACTACATGAGCCCCAATAGTTCTCATTCGTCAGACAGTCAACTTCTGAATACATACAAGCTTCGGCGACCGCCATGCTATGTCAGTTTCCTGACTTCATTCAGGCTTCTCGTAATGATCATGAGAGAAACTGCAGCGGCCTTGGATTGCCCCAGTGATCGCTTGGGTTGAACCTCCAAGCACCCTTATGCTTTCGCGTAAACCAATATGCGTTCAGGTACGGGATGAAGAAGGGTACGGGTGGGAAGTTTCCACTACCGGGATAGCTTCTATCAACACATCCGAGTACCAGCGGGATGACAAGATTCTGGAGTCGCGAGCTGTCAGTTGACTTTCATTCGGCAGGCAGCTAGTGAGAACGTCGGGTTACGCACCGGATCAGCAGTCTTTGCTCCTTCGTCGGCTACTTCTTTCATCGCCTGCTTGATCTTTTCTCCATCACACTTTTCGAGTCGTATCAAGGTATCGATCTCGTCATGTAGATGCTGAGTGAGGATGGGTGCGAATTCATCGATCAGGCTCTTCAGTTCCGCCGCGTCATACGTTCTCTGTCCAGCCCCAACTTCTTCGGCCCACTTCACCAGCCCTGCAATCTTCGGCTCAAACTCATGATGCTGGTCCACGTTTCCTCCCATCATGCCTTCCCAGTCAGCCATTCCCGCCTCTCTTGCGATCTGCTCTATCTTTGGAAAGAACATGGCCTCTTCAAGGGAGTGGTGGTGGTGCACGGTATCCGCCCATGCGGTGACGTACAGCATAAGATCCGCAATGTCGCCAGCGAGTTGAATGAAGGGCGCTTGGTGATATATGGAATTTAGAGCGCGGAGCAAGACGTTGTGAACATTGGCCATTTCTATGGCGACACTGAGAACACCGGCATTCGTGCATATTGGTGCGTTTGGTTGACCGGGAATGTTGAGGAGGGCGAATGGTGTATCCGCCCATGTGTTTGCTTCTGCCTTGGTGTTCATGCTGAAAGTTGATGGCAAACAAACAAAGGGTCATGAGGGTGAACGTCGAAGAAAGCTACGGATGAATGGCACATCGCTGAAGCCTAGCTATAGCTGGCCTTTGAGATTGGAATGCGATAGGCGCTGCTTACTGCGCATACGCGAATCTGTAGGGCTGAACGGTGTACGCTTGAAATTTTCTTCTTCGGGTTAGCGGGCAATCCTCTTGCCAGCTGGCGTAAGCAGTACGCTCCTTACGGACAATGCGCGAGAGGGTATCGGAATCTTACACCCCTAATGCTAATGTCTGCGCATTCGTGTTCTCAACGCCTTCGGGTATTAAAAAGGATCGCGCTTGGTGGGACCAACGGATTGTTAGTCAGGACTCTGCGCAGTACATCTGCTGATGCCGTGATGTTCTGCCATGCTGCTATTGCTACTGCGCAGGCACATCGCGACTGCTGGACACTTGGTGCAGGTGCTGTCAGTTGAGTCTCTGGGTGTTCATAACCGTACATCTCTGGCAGAGGTCGCAGCGCGCATCTCTGGTCTGAGACTGCGCAACTTCTGAGAGGCTTTGAGAAGATTCGGCTTCGACTGCGCTGGATGCTTTGGTGTTGGGAAGCCCTGGCATTCGCGCAACAGGGAAATGAAGGGCGAACTAGAGCCTTGGCAGATGACATAGCTTCTCGGTCCCTATCTTGAGCAACTTCACGGCGGCGTGGCACCTCGTTGTTTCATCAATACCACCGAACAAGCATCCTCCCGACTGCTCGCCGTAATCCGCGCATAATGACGTTGTGAGAACAGCGCCCCCAGGAGTCACCCTGCGCATGAGCAAAGAGAGTAAAAGCGCAATCGCGGAAGCTCGCGCAAGACATCTGCAACCCAACAAACAATTGAGCAGCGAGCTCATAAGAACGATGTGTTCTTCGAAGAAGGTTCCACGCGCCTCATGGCACGGACGGTAGATCTGCCGATCGTTTGATCGAGAGAGATGACCCCACGCGTCCGCCATTTCAATCCACCAGCTTCACCAAAATTGATTAGAAGGGACCACAGCTATGCAGACGACCCTGTTTTGTTTCAATAAAGTCTAGACCTGTTTTTGTAACCTTGTTTCTTGTCCACAGGCAGACATCATGCAGGGCCAATCCCCTGTACCGCTCGCAAAAGAAGGAAACAAAGAGATGTCTGTAACGGTCCGTCACCCACAGGGGGTCCCTCATTTCCTAACTCCACACCTTGCATCACCGTGCTCCCGACCCCACGGTGATCACTTACAACTCTAATGCTTAGCGTATGACATAGAGAGAGGTAATATAGAAGATGGGCCGCTCGCTCATATTCTTCCCTCGATAACCGACCATTCACAACCCCAAAGAACTCACTGCTTTGGCGCATTGACTTGTAAAGACTCCCCTTCACCTGTCTTTCCCTCGAGTACCGACAAGCGCCAAGTTCTTCCATTACCGACACCCAACCTGCTGTACCGCATCTTCTCCACATCCCTACCTTCGAAGTCGGACATCTCAGCCAGAATGTACACTCAAATGCTCTTCAGCGCGTTTCTAGCGACGGCGCTCGCGGCACCGCTCGTTCAACGGCAGTCACCCAAGACGGGAGCCAGTGACAGTTGGCAACCCGCATCCGACACAATAACGACATGCGACCCCGCCTCCGACTCCGATAAATTACTCAGCTTCACAGCTGATCCCAAACTCGAGACTATCCTTAACAACGCCTGCGCCGCCATGATGCCCGGTTGCGCCTACCCAGACCGCATCCCCACCGGTACGCTGTGTACCGCGACTGTTGACTACCCACTCAACGGCGACAAGAACAGCACACAGGATGCCAATGTCGTGGGTAGCGACGGTAACAGAATTACCGACTATGCTGTCAGATGTAAGAAACTCTTGTCCAATTCGCGGCACCCAGATGTACTAACGAAGGTTATAGTCGATGTCACCCCAGCTTCCCAACCCGAGGACTCTGCTGGTGTCTTCTGGAAGGTCGAGGATTGCTATGGCTACTTTGCTCGCATGCTTCAGAAGGAGGGAAAAGAGGGATGTCACAACGACGTCGGATCTGGTTCCGGTAATGTGACGGTTGGCGGTGATTCATCACTGGCTGGTACCATCTTCAAGGTCTCCATTGTTCCTACGGAGAGCTTGCAATAGCTGTCCATTTTTACTTTCTTGTTCATCTTTTAGGGTATTGCTGAGCTTCGGCGTCACGATAGGCGCATACGGATCATGTATCAAGCGCTGTGCGCATTGGCGTTCTATTGTAGCAGTCCCGTTGCTATTCATTTTATGATTGTCACGCTTCACGTCAGAAATCGGTGAGGTGTGCATCTTCTACATTGTTCCTGCCACACCAGTGTGAAATTGTAGCAGCCGCATTCACTATGAGTTTCGGCAAGTTCGACTGCGTTGGACGTGCCGGTACGCTGTCCTTTCCACCCAACGCCTCCATATCACTGTCACTTGATCAGCAGCTTAACTTGTTAGCTTACTCAAGATTCATACACAGTATCGCCTTATTCACAAAACGCGAATCCTCTCAGCACAATGGCGCACGATTACCGCTCACCACTCGACAACGCGGACGAAGAGCTGGTAAAGTACAAGAACCCGTACCTCAAAGGCATGGGAGATCAGAGCATATGTACCATCTGGCCGACCGATGCGCCTACAGACTACATACGCAGCGCCACCGTCTTCCTCGAAGCCGAATACGCAAATCCCGATTCGCCAATCCACCAAGACCCTCCGCTACCCATCCCACCAGATCCCGACGACAACTCACTCAGACCCCTCAAAACCGACGACGATGTCTTCGACGCTGCTCGTATATGGCTCAAATGTCCTCTCGATCACGCCATCGTGATGAAATATCCTACTCAGCTCGTGCAACTCAATGGGTGGGTGGGCTACAGTCGGGTAACACTCTATTATGAGAAGTTCATGGGGACACACCAACCGAGATTGCTCATGACTATCAAGTGGCTATGTCCAAACACACTGGATGGCATAGCTGAAGGTGACACGATCGATCGGCAGTGGGTGGACGAGCCAAAGGCCTACAAATGCTCATACGTTGCTCTTTGCGATTACGACAACCTCGTTCTTTTAAGGTTCGGAAACGTCTTGGGGATTGAAGGAGTTCGGGTCACCGCCGTTCCAAGAGATAGTATGCGTCTGGCGTTCTTGGGATTCCTACTTGAAGCGTGCGATGTTGTTTTGGGTGAGCCAGGTAGTGGCCTGTCTTGATTTGGGTCTCTTCTCGTAAACTCACAGCTCACTAAAGGACTCCTGTAATGGATAGATGGCTAGGCAGATCAATGATAGCTGTTAGGTCAAAAACAACCCGACTTCTGCACAAGTCCTGGGACTGTCACGAAGCTCGCAGAGCCTTTACATGATCTAATGACAGGACCTAGCTTCGGAGGCTTCCATAGCATCCTCCATAGGCGAAACCAAGCAAATATGGTGGTGTAGAGCACCAGTGACGAAGGCGGTGATGCGGCTCCATGCCAAGTCGGCGCATACGTCATCACCAGCCCTCGGTCGCCCACCCCTGTCCCCCAAACACCAACCTCGTTACTAAACAACAGCTGCGGTTGCCGACAGCCGCGACATCTCGTAATGAGAAGAAGAGCCGGGCACCTCCGCTACCACATTCCGACCGAGGAAAAGAGTCCGCATGCTTGGCAACACGTGTGTACCGATGCGCGTTCACGATGGTTCCTGTCGGTCCGGGAAAGGTACCGGCGACATGCACATGTGTCCGAGTCTGGACTGTTTATGAAAGCGTGGTACTGTGTAGTGGCTTGGGAGTGACGTGCCACCAGCCACAGTTTTTTTTAAGTCAAGTAGAGGAAGGCACGTCCTCATTGCAAAATTATTACCATCCCTGCCTTGTCTACACCATACACCATAATCTTTAATCCCGACACAAGGTGCAAGCTTGATCAACATGCGCGTCGCCAGTACCGTCCTCGCTCTTTCCTCCGCCGCCTCAGGCTTCATCCACCCTCGTCAAGCCTCCTACAACGAGACGAGCTCTACGCCCAATGTCGCGGCCGCACAATACGACGGAACCTGTTTCTACCCCGTCCCTGATTCCAAGTTTAACCTGAACGCGTATCTCGGTACCTGGTATCAGGTCGCTGGTACACCATTCGGTCCTACAGCCGGTGCACGCTGCGTGAGCGCAAATTACGAACTCAACGTACGTGTTTCTATGAATTTGGATCGCATATGCAGCGGTTGACAGCGGATACAGGACAATGGCACGGTGCGCGTCACGAACACTGCGACTGTCGGCCCACGAACTGTCGACATCGTCGGCACAGCTACGCCCGTAGACTCTGCTTATGGCGCCGGTGGTGCTTTCATTGTCAGCTTCCCTGGCACGCCATCAACGGCAGAATGCCCAGGACCCAACTACATTGTGCAAGGTGAGTCCTGTTATGAGCATTAATCGAAGTGCACGACCACTAACGTTGATGCGTAGATTACGCCGTCGATTGGGCGATTGTGCAGACCCAGAAGTGGAACACGCTGTACATCTTGAGTAGGGTGCGACAACCAGCCGCTGAAAGCATCGATGCCTGGATTGATCGCGCTGTGGCTTTCGGATCGAACGCATCCTCGATTATGAAGTTCAACCAGACGGGTTGCGAGTAGGCGTAAGTCGGCAGTGAGGAGCTGAGGATTTCATTGCGGCGACGTTGATGTGAGCTATCGATTTATGCAGAGCCGCGAAAACTTCATCACATAACCATCCAAGAGAAGGGCGGATCGACAATTTGAGCCCTCGGTACACTTCGGCGATATATCTACAATAGAGAGAGTATACATTTTCTAGACCTGATGCCGATCAATGGGTATCTAATTACATCCAAAAAGGACAACAACTCCGGTAACACCTAGTAAAGCTTATGAAACCTGCATAGCAGACGCAATGTGATCTTCAACATCAACGCTGCTCTTTTCGCCGCCTTCCTCGCCTTTCTCGACTTCCATGTCCAAACCCAGACCTGAATCCACGCTTGTCTCAGAACCGCTTTCGAGTTCAACGAGCTCTGGCCGGACCCTGGGCTTAGAGGGGTCCCAAATGACGGGAATATAGCGCTCATCGTCACGATACTGCTCCCACAGCCACAGTTCGGGTTTTCCGTCTCCACGGGGGCACCAATCGTCCCACGCGAATGTTTCGATGCCGTTGAACCATCGAATCATTGGCGATTGAAGCTTAGGAAGCCATGCCTTGCGTTCCTCGTCAATCTCGCGTACCATGTCAGCGCCATAACACTTTGGATGACGACGGACAGTGGCAACATTAAAATCAATCGCTTTGATCGCCACGTCATCCGGTGTATCGTCTTTGGGATTGGGCCGAAGGCCGACTACCATGATGTTTCGGGGGCAGAAATCTTCGTTATCGACGCCTGCATGGAATATGATGATGTCGGTATCTATGGCTTTCTTGAGAATGCGATACCGGATCTGCTCTGGTAATGCTCGCGCATCGATATTGCGCATGGTCTCTCCTCGTACATATTCCATGAGGACTAGTGGAACTTGACGCGTGCGCATCTGAAGCTCACCTCCGTCTCGAATCTCAGTATCAACCGAAATGGTCCAGGTTCCGTAGAACGCAGGTGTGACTTGGCGTGCCGCTGGCGACTCCTGTAACTGATTATAGGCAGCAGCCTCACGACTGTAGTCGGAAAATGCATCGAACATGACATCTTCTTCGAAGCCATACTCGTTCACTTCATTGTAGTAGAGCGGGTCGTAGATTTTGGCGACCGTGTCATTGTCGATGACTACGAGTTGTGCTCCTCGGCTGTGACCGGTGCGGATGACCGCCGTGATAGTCAACGTCTTGACATCTTCGAGGGATCGACTGGGGCAAAGGTGGCGTGAAAGGCAATACTCCGCCTTTGATAGAGATTTCTGGTTGTTCAGAGGTAGACTCAAAGGGCATCCAGTGTCATATCCTAGGCCAAAAGGCTCCGGAGGCTGATGTCTCGTTGCAGTCGCAGTGAAGCCTACGACATACGGGAATTGCTGCGTAGGTTGAACGGCGATGTCATCTGGACCAAGCGTGCTCGCCGAAGACTCAGGGTTATGTGTTGGTAGTGAAACGGGAGGTTCGATAAAGCAGCTGCAAGCGCTGTTGGCGGCTGCGTCATCGTTGATGACCTGCTCCATTTTGGTTTCGACGACTGACATATTTTGGTGTTGTTGGGGTCGGCGGCGTGGCTTGAGAAGAAAGAAGAGAAAGCGTAGGTGATTGAAGCGCAAACGCAAGCGCGCTAAGCCCGACTGACCCTGTCATGTGATATCGCGTTCGCCGGGACTGCCCAGGTGCATTCACCAATATCGTTTCTTGGGGTCAATCTTATAGACCAAAGGTCAAAAAATTCTCGATAAGTAGCCATCAGCTCATAGAAAAAGAGCCTAATACCCGGATGGAGTACGGGATGCTGCGTCTGCGATACCTACCTAACTGCAGCAACGATCGGTAGTCCAGTCGATGTACAGTAAATCTTATAGTTCGAATGGGCTGCTTGAGAACTTTCACTATGTAGCAAAAGAATATCGCGTCATTGAGTGGGTCCTCTAGATGAACTCACGAGCTCAAGCACCTGACACGGCAAACGGTCGCCCTCTGTTATCTACTTAGTTAAACAGCCTCTTCTCAACCAATGCTCTACTCCCATTTGTTTATCGACCCCAGATACTTCTTCCCACAACTAGCAGACCGAATCACCCCTCAGCGTGAATCCACTAGATGGCTCCTATGACTTCCCCGCCCGCAAGCCGCATTGAGTGCTTCAACCAAGGACTACCAGTTCTCGGTGTAGATACTACGACCTACAAGAGCGTGAAGCCGTCCAGCGAATCAACCAGCAAGGCAAAGCCACCTCTGATACTGCGCCATGTCCCTTCCAAGCACTTTTGGGACTTAGCGGACAACACTCTTCGAGCGCCTACATTCACCAACCACCGTCAAAGCAATAACCCTATTGCTACTACTTTCTCAAAGCTTCCGCTTGAGAGTGAAAGCGACGTCGTTTACGCCTCGTTGCTGTACGCTATTTCCCCCATTATGGAGATCCTCCAGGTCTTGTACCCCGATCAATGGACCATGTACACCGAACTCAACGACAGGGGGGAGATCCTAGAAAATCCGGGCACAAACGGAACAGAGGCGGTAGTACGTTATGATTTGATCTTCAAAACTACTGCGGGACACCTCAATCCAGGCAAGACCATCGCCATGATCGAATACAAGCGCCGAGGACTCATCCGCTATGACGATTTCATGGAGGTCATAGTCTCCGATGACGCACTGCCTGCTGAAATCAACAAAGTCAAGATCGATAGCCAGAATCGGAGCAGAAGTCTAAAGACGAACGGAATGTCCTACAGTAAACAAGTGTGTCGATATGCGCAGACCTCAAAGTGTAAGCACGTGGCTCTCTTCAACTGGCAGCATTTGGTTCTCTTCGACTTCCATCGCCTGAACTCTGGTACAGATAAGGCCAATCGCAACAAGGGGGAATCATTTACGGCTGGAGACGAAGCGAAGATGTCCTGGGTATATGAACGGGGCGCGAGGGAAGGTGTTATGGAGCCGGGTTCTATCCGGAAGGCATTGCTGGGTTGGCTACTGCAAGCTTTCAATGACTGCGGGAGCCAATAGATGGCGTTGTCAAAGCTTCTAGGGTGTTGTATGGATACCGCCCGGGAGCACACGAGAGGCGACGTAGGCGTCCTGGTGTTATGTAGGTTAGCGTATGAGTAGCGATGATACCCCAAATCGATTCAGACATACTTGAAAGACAGGAGTGACCTTGTTCCACATGACATGACCTAGATTGACACTTCAACCCTTTCTCACATTCTTTGATACGCGTGGAGAGTACGTAGATCGTTCTATCTCGATACATATCCGGCGCAGTGCGTTGTATCCATAAGCCTACTTATTAGATCATCATCACGTCCTCCCACCACCAGTATCCTTGAGAGCTATACATTCGTCCGCGTGCCCCCATTCTCCAGATCTGCACCCCAATCAATCCTAGGACAAGCCTTCCTATCCCCCGCATCCCTAACAAGCGGCACGTACTCTTCCCTCCCCCCAAAACACTCCCACAGCCACTCATTCGTCGTCCTCGCCTTACCACCAACCCATCCCTTGGACGCAAAATCGCTCATCGCATTCCAGAACCTCGTTACGGGACCCATGATCCTGCCCGGCCATTGCTTTTGTATGGATGCGGAGTCGGAGTCGCCAGGACGGGGTTCGCTGAGCCGAATAACGTTGGAGACGTTGAAGTCGATGATGACGACACGAAGGTCTGTATCGTCGAGGGAAGTTGTGGGTGATGGGGAGACGAGCATGACGTTGCGAGGTGCGATGTCGCGATGTAGGACACCGGCGGCGAAGATGAGGGATTCGGCTTCTAGCACTTTCTTCATAATCGCCGAGCGAGTTTGTGCAGAGAGCAGTAGAGGCTTTATGGCGGTCATAACAGTACCGGGTATATATTCCATAAGTATAAGCCGAACGTGTCGTGTGTACATCTGGCCGTCCACCAACGTGTCTACGTCAATAGTCCAGCTACCATAGTACTCCGGGACGACGCGCTGCGCCTCAGGATCTCGCCTTAATTCATCGTACGCAGCGGCTTCGCGGGAGTAATCTCCGTCCGATAGAACGACAACATCGCGCTTGTCGTCGAAGATGTCGAACTCGTCATCGTAAAGCGGGTCGTATATCTTTGCTACTACATCTCCGTTGACCAAGACGACTTGCGCTCCGTATATAGAGCCGGTACGTATTGTGTCGGTGACGGTAAGCGTGTAGGACTCTTCGAGCGTACGCCCTTCAATTGGCGGTCGGATAAGGCAGTAGTTGAGCTGTGGTAGTCTGAAGTGACCTGTTTTGAAAGGCGGCCATGGAGTGTTGTAGCCGTTACCGAAAGGCGCAGGTGGTACGTGACGGTACGCAGTGAACGTAGCGCCTACCGTGTAGGGCATATCAGGTCTACTGTCGGTCTTGTTGTACGGGTAGTCCAAATTTTCGAGATCGTTGCTCTTCTGGCTCCCTACACGACTTTCTGATTTATCAAAAGCGATGTCCAGTGACCCAGAACTGCGCGCTGAGGGCGTCATACGGCGGGAAGAGCTCGTCGTCATGGCGGCTGGCGACTGGTATCTGGGGCGTTTGGCCTGAGAGTGTAGAAGTATCCGTAAACCACACTAGAGCAATCGGCCATACGCCATTTTCGCAAACGAGGGTGAGCGGTGAAAGCGCTTTTCGTGGTTCCTGGTGGAAGTGAATCGACTCTGAAGCCATGGCTCAAGCCATGTTTGGCGAACGAAACCCTCATCTGATCTTGATCCCGAGATACCAAGCATAGGATCTCCCTGGACAAATAGTATTAAGTGTTCGGGGAAACTAGAACGAAGAGAACGGCTTTCCAGAATTCAGCAACTTGGTGTGAAACCTCGTGAATTCTTCGCTACCTCATCCAAAGACCGGCCGTTGCCCTACAGTAGCAGCATCTGACTTGGGCACCTGCAAGACAGGCTGTTGAGGAACAAGCTGAGGACCCCATTGCTGCACCGGCTGCGGACCCCACTGCTGGTAAGGTTGCGGCGCCCACTGCTGTGGTATCGGCTGACCCATCCATTGCTGTCCCGGCTGCTGAACCCACTGCTGTCCCTGCGGTCCATTATAAGGCGACGGCGGACCAGGCGGCTGCATCTCATACACACTCGCAAACGCCGCATACCTCCCCTTGCCGCCAAACGCCCACTTAACCCCTCCTCTCGCCCGTACAAGAACCCACAGGCTAACAAAGACCGACAACGCAGCGACAGCCAGGGCAATAACCATGAACCTCATCGCCTTCGCAGTTCCACATGCCGTTCCTGCCCAATCTTCCTCAGGGAAGAACTTGTCGATCTGACATGCCCATGTCTCTCTCGTGTGCTCCTGGTCGTCCTGTCCAACGTCTTCGTAGCCCTGCCAGCTCTTGTCGCTATTCTGGATAGAGGTGACGTATCCAAACACACCCAGGCTAGCCCCAACCATCACGATGTTGCTAACAAATATAATCCACGTCCACATCCTCTCATGTCCTGCCGTGCCCTCTGTCCTTCTCAATTGCCATATTCCTGCCGCGCTGAGCAGACTGACTAGATATCCTAGCAGGCATAACGCTAGTATGGTGATCGTGGGCGCGTTGTTGACATCGATCGTTACGGTGGTGTCGCTCGAGCCGGGTCGGGACAACGTTATCTGGGACGCGCCGCTGCGTATATCGCGACCGAGACCGTCGTTGAAGTAGTTTTTGGATATGCGCTCGAGGATGTTGGTCAAGGCGGCGAGGCCGAAGAGGAAGAGAAGGGGCGGTGTGAGGAGGAGTAGGATGCGGATGCCGTTGGGGTTGCGCATTTTCGTATCTCAGCGGTGGATGGCGGCGTCTAGGGAGTCGCGATGAGCTGATACGGATTATGTTTGGGCGCAGTATGTCCCTTTCTCCCAGCTAAAGGTGCGCAAGGCGGCAGTCGAGCCATCGTGACTCGCCGGTGGCGGTCTGGGTCGAGGCGTGGACGCCTGAAAGCATCGTTGGGGGCGAGCCTTGCTTGGCAAAATTACACGTATGAGAATAGCCTTGCATCCTGTATTTAGCGAGGTGACGCTGGATCAAAACGAGTCGCAGAGATGATGACACTGTGTCGCCAGAAGTCGCGTGTTCCACCGTAGCATCGCAACGCGCGTTCACGTGGTTGTGGGGCAGCATCCCGTCGGGCCGTCCATCGGGCGATGCAACACAACGATGTACAAAAGCGATCATAGTGAGATATTATCTATTGAGTGTACTCCGCCCAAGGCAGAGAAACAGGCATTCTATATGCCAAAGATCTACAAAAGTTCCAGCCTAACGATCTAAGAAAACATTACAAGTATATGTTCTAGCGTCCCATGAATTCCAAACGCCGTGTATGCAAAATAGCTCCCGCTCATTGGAACTATTGCGGTGCGCCGATAGCCTGCAGCTTCGCCAGCTCAAAGTAGACTCCCTTCTTGGCCACCAAGTCCTCGTGTCTGCCCTTCTCTACGATCTTGCCTTGGTCAAAGACGTAGATCACATCGGCGTGCTGAATTGTGCTCAAGCGATGCGCGATCGCGATTGTGGTGCGGCCTTGTGCGGCGGAGTCGAGGGCGGCTTGTACGACGCGTTCGGAGGTGGAGTCGAGCGCGGATGTGGCTTCGTCGAGGAGGAGGACTTTGGGGTCGCGGAGGAGGGCGCGGGCGATGGCTATGCGTTGGCGCTGGAAGACATGTTAGTGGGGTTGAGAGAAGTGAATGAGTTGGAGAACGTACCTGGCCACCAGACAGTAGAGCACCCTTTGCGCCGACCAGCGTGTTGAAACCGTCAGGTAACGATGTGATGAAGTCGTAGATGTTGGCGTCTTTGCACGCTTGTATCACTGCGTCATCGCCCAGTTCCTCTTTATCGGCAAGGATGTTCTCGCGGATCGTGCCAGTGTAGAGCGTTGTTTCTTGACTGACGATGGCTAATTGCGATCGGTAGTCTTGAAGGTTGTAGTCCTTGACCTCCACGTCATCGACGAGCACGGCACCGCTTGTCGGGTCGTAAAACCTCTCGAGCAGCTGCATCACCGTCGACTTGCCAGAACCGGATGCGCCGACAAGGGCGATGAATTGACCAGGTTCAGCAGAAAGACTGATGCCGCGCAGAACACGGTGGTCCGGCCTTCCAGGGTAGGTGAAACGGATATCCTGCAGCTCGATCTTGCCGCTCAACCTGTCAATCTTCTTGCCCTCAGTCGACCAGTTGTCGATCTTAGGAACGCGGTTCAAGAATGACTTGAGAAGTTTCGCTGCATCCCTGGCCTCGCCCATGTCGGGAGCGAAGGAGAAGATGGCACCGGCCGACTGAGCACCGTTGATGATGGATGAGTAGACGACGAAGAACTGCAAGACAGTGTACTCCTGGTTGAACAAAAGACGTCCTCCGTACCAGAACACAAGAGCGAAAATGAACATGCTGAGACCCTGGGACGTCGCGAAGAGCACTGCTGACACGTTTGTGAACTTGAAGTAACCCTTGCCCTGGTCTGCAAGCTTTGTGTGGTACGTAGACAGGAGATGCTTCTCCAGCGAGAGAGAGGCCACGGTACGAATGGAAGAGGCCGCCTCACAAGCGAAGCTGGCAGCATCGGATGTCTCCTTGGTTCGTTTCTCCATGCGAGTGAGAGCATAGAATCGGAAGTAACCACAGGCGATGACAAGTGGAATGGTTGCCGAGCACACAAGCGCCAGCTTCCACCCGAAAGAGCAACCCACGATGAAGGCGACAAGGATGGAAGCGGCGGCGCTGACGATCGTTCCGAGAGTAGAGCCACTGAGACCGGCGAGACGATTCGCTTCTGAAGAAAGGAAGTTGCTCAGCGCACCAGAAGTGACCGTGTCACCATCGAAGAACTCCATGTCTTGACGAAGCATGGCGCCGAAAGCGCGCGTTCGCACGCTGCCAACAAGTCTGGCAGATCCTTTCGACAGTGTCATACCCTGTACGTAGTAGAAGAAGCCGATGACGATTCCGAGCATGAGGAACATGCCACACCAGAAGTTTACGTTGAGTCCACCGAGAGATGTTCCAG